GATGGGCTTTGGGTCTCCATTCTGCACTCCTCATTCACATTGATATTTTTTGTTTTCTGTCTTTGATCCTGGATACCTGATCCCATGGACACCTCATGATCACACAAAGATCCTTGTTTTCATAGAGTTTGCATTCCCTTGAAGGGAAATAGACAATGAAAACTAAACACAGCGAAAAAGAAGCTTGCACATGGCACATTAGTAAGATGTATTACATAAAAAAGCAATGTGTTGGGGGGCAGCGTAGGTACAGGGCCAGCTTGGGTTTCCATTTTAAATAAGGTGGTTGAAGTAGACTTTGTCATGGTAATGTTTTCGGTTGAGAGACATGCTGGTATCTGAGAAAAGATCATTCCTTTGATCTTGGGAACAATCTGTGCAGAGACACTGAATTAGGAGCATGCTTGGATATTCAAGAAGTTGCAAGGAGCCCTGCATGACTGGAGCACAGTGAATGTAGGCGAGAGTAAGAGGCAGGCATTCAGAGGTATTAGAAGGGCGGAAGGCATCGTTAGGGAGATCTTGTCAACCTCCATAGCCCATTGTGGGACTTAGCTTATATTTTCAGGAAATTGGGGAGCCATTCAATATCTGGAACAGAAATCTAGCTTCATGTTTCCAGGTGACTGGGCTAGAATGGACTGTGGAGGGGGCAGGAAGGCCGTTGGGAAGCCATTGTAGTAATCTTAATGAGAGATCGTGGTTCCACGCTGGGTGGTGACAGTGAAGGTGGGGAGAGGATATAATCAAAGACAATATGGTTATTATAATAGCCATTATTCTGTAATCTTGGGTTGACAGCAATTTCAATAATAGAAAAGTGTCTTCTGTATTGATTTCTAGGAAATGTACTCTTTCCTTTCTTACTGTGTTTAATTGATAAGTATTGAACATTCTAAATACCCAATTGGAAAATGGATTATACTTTGATAGACCTCAGACTTCTTCAGAGAACCAAGTTGTGGCTTTTTCTCCTGAGTGTCTCTTTCTATTAGAAGAAAAGTAGTATCAATAAATTCCAGATAGAATATCTGTTAGGGCGCATGTCCCTTTTCCGCAGTCTTTTGTCCACAATAATTTCTTCTTCTTACTGCTTTATTGTTTCAGGATGGCTAGATTTTTAAAATATCCCAGTGGTCCTCCACCCTGAGGATTTTCAGGTACTCTTATGATTTGGAAATTAAAAAGTGGCCAACAGTATGAAGCAATGTGCTGAGCCTGGGTCTGTCTGCCCTCATTTGTACCTGTCGGTAGGCATGTACGCACACGAAATGGGCTGTAAACACCTTATATAGGGCATATATTTTTAATTTGTTGCCCTGTTTGATTTTCAGACAGAAGAGCAGCTGCTCTTTGCAGTTCTGATTTTCCTTGCTCATTGCATTCCTGACCTAAGCACCAGCCTGAAATCTGACTCTACTCTGGGGGTAGGGACAGGCGGCAGCCAGCAGTTGTCCTGACCTGTACCCACTGCCTCTCCCCAGACAAGTATGCCTTGGGGACAATTACAAAGCAAGGACAACCTTCAGTCTCTTTACATGCGTTAATGGAAGAACACGCCCTCCTCCGGGAGCATTGCTGCGCCCTGCTTAATCTTTTCCTAAATAGGGAAATTCCTTCAAAAGGAAGCAGGGCTTCAGAGAGCAGCAGAGCACTTCAGGCTGTAGCTCACCTTCAGGGGTTGGCCAGTAGGAGTGTAGAGAAGGTTTTGTCTGGTAACAGGATGTGGGTGACCCCCAGGGAGGGCTCAGGCTCAGATTAGTTTCCTTTTGTTATTCTTCACTCTGTGCTTTTGCTGCTGCCCCCAGTGTATTCCTAAAGACAAAGCCCCCCGCCCCCTCGTCCTATGCCCTCCACCCCGTGGTTTCTGTGCATAATCCCATTGTCACAGCCAAGTGTTAGTCCCTCTCATGGAGGCTTCCTCTACTTTCCCAAACACTCACAGCCTGTTTTGGCCCATCCAGTCTTTCAAGGCCGCACGTTGACACTTGACTCTTTTCCTTCTTTCAGTTTGAGAAATGCCAGGTGTGTGCTTCCCTTTGGCTTGCGAACTCCAGGTCTTTCCACTTGTCAGTGTCTTACTTCGTCTTCTCCAGTTGCCCTGTGGAATGTTCTTGACGGCTTCTGTAAGTCACGATTTCTTCCTTCTGCTTCAGCTCTTTGCTTCCGAGAGCAGATTGCAGCATCTCTTCTGACATCCGTTTTGTTCTTTCCCTCCTGGGGCTTCAGTGACTGTTTGTTTTCTTCATGGGTGGCGTCCTCAATCTACTTCCTCCTAAAACCAGCCTTTTACAACCCTGTGGCGCACATTCCTCAGGTACACACATGTCACCCCAAGTCCAAGTTAACTCACAGGCAACCTGCTTTCTCGCCTGTGCATATAAGGGAGTAGGAAAACTACATCTAGACTGAACTTTACTTTTATTCCTGCTTGGCTCATGGTTAGGTCTTGAAAGATAGAAGTGAAAACCAGTATGCACTTTCTTTGAATCGTAGTCTGGAGACAGAAAACAATATTGGCTACTTTTGTGTTCCTTTAGAGCAGGGGTCCTCAAACTACAGCCCGCGGGCCACATGCAGCCCGCCGAGGATATTTATCCAGGCCGCCGGGTGTTTTTGCCCCGTTTTGTTTTTTACTTCAAAATAAGATATGTGCATTGTGCATAGAAATTTGTTCATAGTTTTTTTTTAAACTATAGTCCGGCCCTCCAACGGGTGTGAGGGACAGTGAACTGGCCCCTTGTTTAAAAAGTTTGAGGCCCCCTGCTTTAGAGATCCATAGCTCTTAAATCTCTGATGATGGATGATGGACCTCTTTTGTTGTTGGCGTGAGTTCACCTCGAGCATCTTGATCTGCATCTTACGGTTCTCGTTTGCGGAGCTGGGTGTTGGGGCACGCTCTGCAGAATCTCTTGGGGCCATGCCTCAGACCTTTCCATTGGGTCTTCAGTACTTCTTGCCAAGTGCAACTGTGGGGAGGCTGTGGGGAGCCAGCTCTGAAGTCTCATTGTCAAACATGTTCCACTGCGAGTTCTCCCTTGGAAAGCAATGATCAGATTGGGACTCGCCCCCATAGTGTATACCAGTGTAAGCCTGGGCCCCTGTGCTGGGTAGAAAAGAGTCAGGGTGTAAGAAGACCTGAAGTGGGGAGCTACAGGCCTACCTCATTGGTTTTGTACTTCACTCTGTTGTGTCTCATCGGTAGCTGTTCTTTGTTGTTGTTGTTTTTAAAGGCATTTAGGAGGTTTGTGGCAACCTTGAGTTGAGCATGCCCTTTGGCACCATTTGCAGCAGCGTGTCCTCTCCACACTTCCCCGTCACGTTTTTGGCCATTCAAACAATATTTCCAATGGCTTTATACTGATGTGGCACCTTTAACAGACTAAGCACACACTGCTATCAAATCAATTTCGACTCATAATGACCTTAAATTGGGTTTGCAAAGCCGTAAATCTTACGGGATCAGATAAACTCATCTTTCTCCCCCAGACTGGTTGATGGATTTGAACTGGGAGCCTTGTTGTTAAGAGTTCATGTTTTCCCAACGGCACCAACAAGGGCTCCTTTTATAGACTAATTGCTGCCATTGAGTCAATTCAGACTCACAGTGAATAACCCTGTGGGACACGTCTTGTGGTAGTTATATCATTGTCAATTTAAGGACTAAGCGTGTAGGGGTGGAATCTAGCCTGTCGATCAGGTCATAGCCAATGAGGCGTGTGTGTGTGTGTGTGGGCATAGCCTTCCCCTAAGGATTCTGGGAATTCCGGTATTTCCTCCTTGGTGGCAGGGGAGATACTTTCTTTCTATGCTCATACCCTGGGAGACATAGCAGTTGATAAGACACATGGACCCACCCTGATGCAGCCCTGGGTGCTGGAGAAGCCAGGAAGAGACCCCTGCTGGCTCTGAGATGCTTCCAATGCCACTGAATCCAAAGACTTTCTACCCACTGGCCTGTGATCTTCTACATTCGGCATCATTTCTTGTGTTTCTTGAGTCTGAAGAGAACTTTATAGATTGGTATCGGACATACGGGCTAATATCGGACTTAGGACTTGATCTGGACTGGGCTGGGATGTGTTCTCAATGTTCGATTGCTCTTGTGTATAAATCTCTTTCTTATACACACATGTGTGTCCATGGATGTGTTTCTCTCGTCTTCCCAGGCTAACACACTGGCCCTGTGGGTTTGTGAGACTGTAACTTGTAACAGGAGTAGAAAGCCTCATCTTTCTCCCATGGAATGGGTGGTAGCTTTGAGCTACTGGCCTTGCAATTAGCTGCTCAGTGTGTTCATAACCACTATGCCACCAAACAGTATAGTACAAATATAACTTATATGTCTACTCTAGTGAGGTGGTATCAAGTCTGTTCCACCTCATAGGGACCCCGTGTGCAGCAGAATGAAACACTGTACAGTCTTGCGCCATCCTCACAGTTGTGCTTATGTGGGGGCCCACTGTCGCAGCCTCTGTGTCAGTCCATCTTGTCCAGGGTCTTCCACTTTTTCATTGCCCCTCTTCTTTACCAAGCATGATGTCCTTCTGCAAGGACACAAGCAAATAGACGAAAATCATATGATCCTCTTTACTGTGGCAATCTAAAACTGCATTATCTCTGAGGTTTGCCTGCATATAGCCATGTTATAGGCACATGGTTATATAGTTAAAACTGCATTATCTCTGAGGTTTGCCTACATATAACCATGTTATATGCACATGGTTATATGGTTAAAACTGCATTATCTCTGAGGTTTGCCTGCATATAGCTGTGTTATGTGCACAAACACACAGAAATCTGCAGTTCTAGTGTCCAAATCCTTCTTTAGACTTCTTAGAGGAAATTTTGCTGTGTGATGAATTTAAAGGCTCAGAATGCTACTTTAGCTTTTTGTTCATTTGTTTGTTTTTACTCAGGTTTGGGTTTTGCCTTTGGCTTTTGTTTTCATCATACCCTTTAAAAATTTTTTCATTTTCCTTTTTAAAACTTTTGGTTAGGCCCGAGAAGACCGCCTGACTGTGATCCAGCCTCATTCCTTGTCCTTCGTAAACTCTGAGAAGCCAAGTGGAGAGATTATATACAACATCACTCAGCCTCTGCATCCAAGTCAAGGTAAGATGTGTAACGCGTGGTCCTTTGACTGATGCTCCTGTCTTCAGTCTGGATTAGTTTTACAAGTTGGGGAATTCTTCCTGCCTCATGGTTGACTTGGAAATACTTGTTCAGATTTTAAGGCGTGATGATCGTCCCCTCTCCTCCCCTCCTCTGTGGCCAGACGGAGAGAGATGAATGGGTGAGCACTGGTACTGTCGGCTGCACAGAAGAGCATTGTTTGGGGATGAGACCCTCAGGAGCTTTTCGCTTCATCCACAGAGCTGAGCTCCCCTTCCAACACAAAGGCTGAGCCCCACAAGCACAGGCGTGATCTGCAAGGTCCGAGTCTGCCCTGGTGAAGTTACAGCAGAAGAGCAACGCGGAATGGGCATGTGCCAAGAAGACAGAGCTCTGCTTTTCACAACGGGACTGGGCCACACGTGTTCAGTTTCTCTCCCCAAATGGATCTTTCGCTCTTTTCCCCACAGAGGACCTTGAGAGGACACGTCAATCCACAGCTGTCCCTAAAGGAGAGGTGGTCCCTCACACTATTCCCTAACCTCAAATCTCAACTTTTCAGAAGCCTGTGCCCCCAAGGCCTGCTTGTCCCTCTTCCCAAGGGAAAACAACCCCTTGGAGCCACTTCTACTTCCACTTGTGAGGCTTTTCCCTTGAAACCAATCCTGCCTCTGGTATAGGCCTCTCACATTAGCAAATTCCCAAGAAGAAATTGAAGCATTTAAAAACTATAAAGTCCATTACCGTTTTGATAAAATCAAATGAAAGTAAAAGGCTAACAGTCATCCTATCTTAATTGTTTAAACCTCTGATGCTAACCCTTCTTCCTTCCTTGCTGGGGCAGAGGAGGAGTTCTTTCTAGCCCAAACCCAGGCTCCTTGTGTAGAACATGCTCAGGTCTCATAATCTCTTGGCAGCAGAATTTATCCAACCCCAGGCCTCACACATGCCCTTGTTTTAAAGAAAACGAATCACAGCATCAGTTCTCTCTCTTCTCGAAGAGTTTAGAAACCACAGGCATATCCTGAGTCCCTAAAACTGTTATCACGCACGGAGTGATCATTGCAGAATCTGTTCTTGGTATAATCAAGGCCCACGCTATTGTTGCCAAAGATGATAACCAAGATCAAGGCATTTCCAAACAAAACAAGGAAGAGGGGAAAAAAAAAAAAAAAGAACTGTGTTTACAGCATCACTGGATGCCAGTCAGTCTGTGCCAATGTTTCAGGTCCATGACTTTTGAATTTCAACTCACTTGAAAGATTCTAACAATTTCAGTGGAGTATCTTTATTTTCTGGAGAATTGCCTGGTCTAAGATAGCATTAAGAATAGAGAGCAGAATAGGAATTCCAGAGCACTTCGTGTGTCCTCATGGAACCTGTATGGGACCAAGAGCAGTCATTCAAGCTGGACATGGGAATGCTGTGGGATTTAAAATCAGGAAAGGGGTGAAGCCCAGTTGGATCCATTCATTATACTTACTTAATCTGTATGCTGAGCAAATCATCAGAGAAGCTGGACTATCTGAAGAACAGCATGCATCAAGATTAGAGGAATTGCACTATGCAGATAACACAACCTTGCTTGCTGAAATGGATGAAGGTTTGATGCACTTGCTGATGGAAATCAAAGATTGCAGCCTTCCTTATAAATGGCACCTCCATATAAAGAAAACCCAAATCCTTGCACCTGGACCAAGAGACTATTTCTTGATAAACAGAGCAAAGATTAAAGTTGTCAAGGATTTCATTTTACTTGGATCCACAGAGGACACTCATGGAGACAGCAGTCAGAACTCAAGTGACATATTGCATTGGGCACATTTCTAGCACAAGACCCCTTTAAAGTGACAAAGAGCAAGGCTGTCCCTTTCAGGACCAAGTTGTCCCTGACTCAAACCATGCTATGTCCAGTTGCCTCGTATGCGTGTCAGAGTTGGACATGGAATAAGAAAGACTGCAGAAGAATGGAGGCATTTGAGTCATGGTGTTGGGGAAGAATATTGTAAATACGTACCGCTGACTGCCAGTAGAACAGACCCATCTGTCTTGTAAAAGTACAGCCAGAGTGCTGCTTGGAAGCAAGGATGGAAGGCCAGACTTCATCTCACGTACTTGGGGGCATGATATCAGCAGAGCCTAGTCCCTGGAAAAGGACATCATGCTTGGTCCAGTGGAGGGTCAGTGAAAAGGAGGTAGACCCTCAAGGAGATGGACTGACACTGTGGCCCAAACATACCAACTCTGAGAATGGTCCCAGACAGGCCGTGTTTCCTTCTGTTTGATGTGGGATTGATTTGAGTTGGCACTTGCTCTGCAGCCCCTCACAGCAACAACAAGCAGCATAAGGGGCTCTAAGTTGAGTCAGACCAGTTGTCCTCCTGGCTTCTACAACTCATAGGGAGCCCCATGTGTCACAGAAGTGTGCTCCCTGGGCGTTTCAATGGCTGCTGTTTCATAAGTAGAACCCTTTCTACTTGTTCCCCCTCAAACTCACTGCTATCGACTCGATGCCGACTCACCGTGACCCTACAGGACAGGTTAGAACTGCCCTGGGGGGTTCCAAGACTATCACTCCTTACAGGAGCAGAAAGCCCGTCTTTCCCTCTCGGAATAGCTGGTGGTCTGGAACTGCTGACCTTGCAGCCAATGTGGATCGATGGCACCACCTGGTCTCCCCGCCAGGCCTTTTGTGGAGGCATTTCAGGGTGGCCGCAACACTCCACTCTGTCAGTTAGTAACTAAGAACATGGACCCATTCTCCTTCTTATCTAGGGCTGCTATGGCACATGTGGGTGGGTTTAACAAACTGATTTTCTTAGCGCTTAGGAGGCTCCCAGTCCAAATTTAGGGTGCCACTCTAAGGGAAGGCATTCCTTCTGTGTTAGCTCACGGACAAGGCCCAGTCTCTTTTACTTCTCTTTCATGGTTCTTAGAGATATCTGCGTGCCCTGGCATCAGTGTAACCTATCTCTGCTTCTTGTTGATCTCAGTCTGCTCTCTTTATATTCCGTAAGGAATTGGGCCCACGCATATCCTACACTGATCCTGTCTCATTAATGTGTCAGAGAATCTATTCCCAAGTGTCCCTACTCCCTGCCATCAAGTTGATTTCCACTCATAGCAACCCTACTGCACATGGTAGCACAGCCCTTTTGGGTTTTTGAGGCAAACTCTTTAGGAGAGTAGAAAGCCTCGTCTTTTTCTCAGAGAGGCTGGTAGTTTTGAACTGCTGACCTTGTGGTTAGCAGCCCAACGTTTAACCACTCCGCCACCAGGGCTTAATTCATTAACCATAACTGTGAAGGATCCCATCACCCAGGAACTCCCAGGTTGCATCTTTTTTTTCTTTCCATAAATCATTTTGTTGGGGACTCTTATAACAATCCATGCATCAATTGGATCAAGCACCCAGGATGCATCTCAGTACGGTTTCTAGTCAACAAATCCTAGTGAAAACTCAGTTTGGGATGTATGTGTCTGCTCCTTCCTTCCCTGAATACCGAAAAATGTCCTAGCACACCAAGGGCCACTGAGCAGAACTGCTACTGAAGCGTAAAAGGGTCTTTACCCTCGGGCGTGGGGCCAGGCTTGGGCCTGATGGTTCTGCTCATTTAGTGCCCAGAATTGCTGTCAAGACTCATGCTGAGTTGTTCACTCCCCAGGCCTCATCGAACACAGAGACCAGCCTCACTCTCCCATCCAGTATTTCACACAGGAGGATGTTAACCAAGGCAAAATCCTGTACCGACCTCCCCCGGCGGCTCCCCACCTCCAGGAGATCACGGCCTTCTCCTTCGCAGGTAACTATGCTCCTTGTCTGCACTCCCAAGGCTTGCTGTGGCTCTTGACGGCCAGCTTGCTTCCCCTGGCCCTTCTGTGCAGTTAGATGGCACTGCCTTGGAGCTCTTCACCAGCCAGTACGGAGCATGGTCTCGTTCATCATTCCTTCCTTTACTGCTGTGTGTAAGCGTCTCAAAACCAAGACCCTCTAACTGCCATCAAGTTGGTAACAGCTGGTAGCAACCCAATAGGACAAGATCAAACTGCCCCTGTGTGTTTCTGGGTTTCCAAGGCTGTAACCCTTTACTGGAGTAGAAAAACCCATCTTTCCCCCCACAGAGTGGCTGGTGGATTAGAACTGTGGACCTTGTGGTCAGCAGCCCAACATGTAACCACATATACTTAATAAATCCTCCCTCTGTGCCTCCTCTACCCATCGGGAGTCCTAAAGGGGTGCAAACAACTCAGCTCAGGGTTACTAACCAAAGTGTTGGTGGTTTGAGCCCATCACAGGTGCCCTGGAAGAAAGATGCAGCGATTTTTTCCCTAAAGGCCACAGCCGTGGGAACCGCATGGAAGGCAGTTGCATAGTGAAGTCCATGGGTCACCAGGAGTCAGAATCTGCTCAGTGCTAACTGATTCCCCCCACCCCCCCCTCCCAAGTTTCTTAGGACTCAGTTCCTGGGCAAGGCCCTGGCGATACAGTGGTGAGCGGAAAGAGGCATGGATCCTCTTGGCAAGTTTGGGATCCAGAGACAAACGATCCCATTATGATTGTATAACCACAGACTGAGACGAGAGCTCTGGAAAGAATGTTCAGCGGGGAAAAGAATGTTAAACTGACTGACGTAGACTCGGGGCTCCATGAAGGCTTCCCCAAGGAAGTCTTGCTATTTAAGAGATGGGTAGAAGCTTACCAAGGCTACGTGTTCACACTGGAAAGACGAGGCGGCAGGGCTTTCTGAGGAAAAGCTCACCCTCACGCACAGTGTGCAGGACCCTGTGAGGAGAGAGCAGGTGGCTCAAAGGAAGTCCGTGTGACTGGCTCGTGGGGAAGGAAGCTACAGCAGAGCCACATGAGCTTAGAGCAGTGGTTCTCAACCTTCCTCATGCCGTGACCCTTTCTTACAGTTCCTCCTGTTGTGGTGACCCCCCGCAAGCATCAAACTATTTTCGTTGCTACTTCATAACCGTAACTTTGCTACTGTTATGAATCAGGTGACCCCTGTGAAAGGGTCATTTGACATGCCCCCCCACCACACACATAAAGGGGCCACGACCCACAGTTTGAGAACCGCTGGCTTAGAGTGCGAGACAGTGGGTAGACCAGGCAGGCCCTGTGAGCCAAGTTAAGGATTTGAGTCTGTATCTCCAGAGCACAAGGGATCCAGTGCAGGGTTTGAAGATAGTACCCTAGTCCTTGCAGTGGATAGGGGCCCTGGTAGCATAGTGGATTACACTGTGGGCTGCTAACTACAAAGACAGCAGTTTGAAACCACCAGCCACCCCATGGGAGAAAGGTGAGGCTTTCTGGTCCTGTAAACAGTTGCCCACAGGGGCAGTTCTACTGTGTTCCGTAGGGACTCTATGAGTTGGCATCTTGGTGGCAGTAAGTTGCAGTGGGCTCATTTCTGACTCATGGCGACCCCGTTTGTGTCAACGCAGCATTGCAGCTCTGCTTTGCTCTCAGTGGCTGCTGGCCTGGAAGGAGGTCTCCAGGCCTTTCACTTGAGATCCTCTGAGTAGATTTGAACCTCCAGTCTTTCAGTTAGCAGCCAATTGCAGTAACCATCGGCACCACCCAGGGGCTCCTTTAAGAGAGAGTGAGATGGCTTTTCACAAGAACTCTCTGCTGCAATGATGTGAGTGGGTTGAAGAGGGCAGGCAGACAGGTGTGGGGGTGAGGGGAACAAAGAGGAGCCTCCAGGGAATCTCCGTCGTGTAGAAACGAAGGATACAGGCAAGCATCGGGAATTAGACCGGCGCCCGACAGAAAGACATCTTTTGAAAGGAAGCGAAAATGGAGCAAAAGAATAACCGAGTTCCTAATTAAAACCAGTGTGTGCTTTTCCACTAAGCTCGCACATCTTTATTCCTTACCACACGCTCTCTCCCCTTGATCTGCTAATCAAAGCTTCTGACGGCCAAACAGGAGGTTTCAGTCCCTGTCCTAGATACGTCTGTGCCTTGGCATGTGTCTAAACATTTTGAAATGTGTTTCATTATAGTCTTTAAGATGTACGCACATCATGCAGTGATTAATAGGGAGTATTTTATGTACTAGGACAGCTGGTGGTTTCTCATGCTGAGTTGATCATGGATTAAATAACTTTAGAATTACTTTTAAAAATGATAGTAAATATCTCAAGTTTTATTTCCCATTACTTATACAAGTTTATATATAAACCAGCCACCCCATGGGAGAAAGGCAAGGCTTTCTGGTCCTGTAAACAGTTGCCCACAGGGGCAGTTCTACTGTGTTCCGTGTATATATATATATATATATATATATGCAGTTCCTCAATGAAATTGACTATCTGTAAGGGCAGAGACGGGGTCTCATCTCTATGGAGTGTCCTCAGTGTTTATTAACTGGGAACCTAATAGCCCATGAAAACATTCCTGGATCTCCAACACCTGCTTTGTAAGACTTTATAAGAAACTCCAGCTGTCCTGGGATTAGAGGGAAAGAAAACATGTTAGCAGCCACGGTTGAAGTTATGTCTGTGGCCGTTATACTTGCTTGAGTTGTTAGAGCCTCTTAAGAGAGAGCAGAAGCCAATAATCTATGGGATAAATGCCATGAGATAAATCGCTCACACTGTTACAGTATATAAATCAATGTTCTGGCATCACTCAGTTCTACAATGGAATTGACCCACCTGAGCACCTTGTCAGTGATATATGGTATCACCCACATTCACTGATTTGTAGGGTTTTATGTACTGCTGAAATGGGATCTCAATGAATATATTATAAATCACTCTAACTGCTTGGATATAAAAGTATTCTATGTGATTCTTTCTTGTTACTTAAAATTAGGGCTGACACCATTACATTCAACATAACAATAGCAAATGGCTTGGTGATGTCCCTTAAACCAGAGCAATGTAGATGAGCACTTCTCGGGCTTGTCTTATCTCAGCCCCTTCTTTCAGCCATTCTCTATCTCTGAGCCCCATTGGTTTCATAAACTGACTTTTTTTCTCTCCTGCTCTTTTAGGTCTCCCAGAATCGGTGAAATTCTACTTCACAGGTACAGAATTTAGTTTCAGTTTATTGGAAGAAAATGTTTTCTTTTCTAAGCCTTTCTTTTTACTCCATCATAATAAATTTTAACTATCTTCTAAGGACCTCTTGAAAGTTACATAAGTTCAGAAATAAGTCACATGATTAGTTAACTAAAAATAGCATAACCTTGCATTGGTAGGAAAAGAAAAAAAAAAAGAGCCAAATAATTCACTAGGAAAGCCAAAGAATAGTGTTGATTAAGACTATTTCCTCTCCTCCTAACTTGTATTAAAAGGAGTTAATGTTGGTGAAGATCGTTAGCCCTGGATCCAGACTGCCTGGTGTTCAATCTACCCTGGACAAATTTCTTTTAAAAAAATAGATAAATCATTTTATTGGGGGCTCTTACATCTTATGACAATCCATACTTTTTTTAAATCATTATATTGGGGGCTTGTACAACTCTTATCACAAGCCATACATCCATCCATTGTGTCAAGCACGTTTGTACATTTATTGCCATCATCAGTCTCAAAACATTTGATTTCTGCTTGAGCTCTTGGTATCAGCTCCTCATATACTAATTATATTAAGCACATTTGTACGTATATTGCCATCATCATTTTCAAAACAGTTTCTTTATGCTTGAGCCCTTGGTATCAGCTCCTCGTTTTTCCCTCCCTCCCTCACCCTCCCACCATTGGGAACCCTGATAAATTATAAATTATTATTACTTTCACATCTTACACTGTCCACTGTTTCCTTTCACCCACATTTCTGTTGTTTGTCCTCCGGTGTGGGGTGGGGGGAGTGGGGGTTATACATCGATCATTATAGTCGATTCCCCTTTTCTCCCCCTTCTCCCCTCACCTTCTCCCTACCCTCATGGTATCACTACTCCCATTATTGTACCTGAAGGGTTTATCTGTCCTGGATTCTGTGTGTTGAGAGCTCTTATCTACCCTGTGTATATGCTCTGTTCTAGCCATAGTTTAAGCTAGAACTGGAGTCATGATAGTGCAGGGGGTGGGCACTAAAAAGCTAGAGGAATATTGTGTGTTCTGTCAGTCTTGTTCCTTGTTCTGGCTGTCTTGTTCCTTCCTTGTGACCCTTCTGTGAGGGAATGTCCAATTCTCTACAGATGGGCTTTGGGTCTCCACTCCGGCCCCCTTCATTTGCATCAGTATATTTTTTTGTTTCGGGTCTGCTGATGACTGATACTTGATCCTGTGGACACCTTGTGATCACACAGGCCAGTGTGCTTCTTCCATGTGGGCTTTGTTGCTTCTCTGCTAAATGGTGGCTTCTTTAGCTTCAAATGTTTAAGACACCAGATACTGTATATCTTTTAATAGCTGGGCACCATCAGCTTTCTTCACCACATTTGTTTATATACCCATTTTGACTTCAATGATTGTGTTGGCAATGTGAGCATCACAGAATGCCAGGTTATTAAAATAACATGTTCTTGTGTTGAGGGAGTACTTAAGTAGAGACCCAGTGCCCATCTGCTACCTTAATGCTTAACATTTAAATATATGTATATAGACCTATATCTCTTATTGTTGCATATTAATATATTTACATGTATTATGTGAATATATATGTGAATGCCTAGATTTATACTTCTTTAAATGTCTTTTGCTTCCTAGTTCTTTCCTCTATTTCTTTTTACTTTCCTTCCATCCTATTATCATGTTCGACCTTCATTTGGCATTCAGTATTTCTCTTGGCTACATTGGACATGATCAAACACCAGCAGGCAGTCTAAGCCCTCCTCTTATTTTAGATTTCAGATCTCTTATTGTTCCCCTTTCCCTAGATTTGGGGACAAAATTTCTTAAAATATACCCACAAATGGAGGTGAGAATAATAGCTAGTTACACAAGTAGACCCTGACTTAGAACAAGATTTCATTCTATGACTGTGGTGTAAGTCAGTTCTGAAGCACATTGAATATGCCCCACTCCCCCACCCCCAGGCTTCATCATTACCTGGTATACAGCAGGGTTACAATATGTCATAACAGTGAACATTGGTGAACGAACAACTGAGACAGGGTAACATCAGCAAATTATGTGCTGCAACATTATACGTGGTATTATTCTAACAATAACTCAATTCACTGCCATTGAGTGGATGCCAGCTCATAGTAACCCTGTAGGTCAGGCCAGAACTGCCTCTGTGGGTTTCCCAAGTGATAACTCTTTACAGGAATTGAAAGCCCTGTCTTTCTCCCTTGGTGTGGCAGGTGGTTTTGAACTGTGGATCTTGCAATAAGCAGCCCAATGCGTAACCACTATGCCACCAGAGCTCCTTTATTCTAACAATAAGGTATACCAAAAACAACAGATCTGAGAGCATTCATCAGAACTTTGCTATATCCTGAATTGGCAATGCTTGTAATATAATATTCTCAGAACAGCAATGGAGACAGGGTTGTCATCATGGCATACTTTTTACTCAGTATGGTTTGTGTGTTGTCTTTAATAGAGCCTTTCCTTGACAACTTTGCTACTAGAAATAAATGATTATGGCTCAGAGAATGAATTAATAAACTTGTATTTGAAGGCTTCAGTGTCCTCCTGTCCACAGTAAAATACTAGCTGAGTGCTAATAGCGCAAAGCAGACTCAGACATGATGTTTTTGCTGGGGCAATCTAGGGATAGGCTTTCTTAGCAGGTCTGGAGTGAGGTTAGTTGATCAGAAATAGCACTCTTCAGTAGTTGTGATTGGCGATTCCATTAGCATCAACAATCCAGATGTCCTGTTACCTTTCACGTAAGGATACATTTTGGTGGCAACACAAGTCTTCTCCTAAAAACTCAATGCCTTTCCTTCGTTGAGTGCTAAGAGAAATGGCATGCCCGGTTAACATTAGTGGATGCTTTCAACTGTTCTTATTTTGAGTCATCATGTTAGCAAACGAAGGCCATCAAAATCTTCCTCTCTCCATGTCATTCGGGTTGACTCTACTTTGAGGAGACAGCTCCTCCCCAGTCATATTTGAGTGAGGGGCTCATGTTTTGGCACTATCCAGTGTTCTGCTGCTGTTTACAGGTTTCCAGTTGACCACCAGGGCCTTCTTCCGAGGGTGTGTGGGTCTGGACGCTCCGCTGCCTGCCCACCATGGGTGACCTTGCTGATGTTTGAATCTTGAAGCATAGCTTCCAGTATCACAGCAGCATGCAAGTGTTAGAAATGTAAAAGGGAAGAAACTGCTTGCCATTTCTCAAGATGAAAGGAATAAGGAAAAACTGAAGCTTTGCGTTGCAGTATAAAAGGGTTCTGTGGGCAGAATAGTGAACAAGGAAGGGAGATGGGAGGAATGCCTGAAGTCACTGCCTCACAAAGACCCGTTGCCATTCGGCCACTTCAGGAACTAGCGTGTGCTCCACAACGGCCGGGATTGAAGAAGTCCGAACTGCACTGAAGGTGTTGCTAGAAAAACAAGGCCCTGGGGGTTAAGGAGCAGCAGTTTCCATGCTTAAAGGATCGGATACAGTGCTGAAAGTGCTCACTCATCTATGCTAGTAAATGTGGAGGACTGATGGGGGCCCAACGGACTGTGCCTATTGCAAAGAAAGGTAGGAACCAACCGAATGCAGAGATTACTGACCAATGTCATTGAAATCTGAAAATAGAAAATACCAGAAAGATGTATGTCTCTGGTTTACTGACTGTACATGGAGCTCAACTGTGTGGATTGGAACCAACTATGGAAAACATTGCGAAGAATGGAAATTCCAGAACACTTTTCTGTGTTCATGCAGAACCTGCATATGGACAAGGAGACAGTTATTGGATAGAACAGAGGGATCTGGGTGATTTGAAATGAGGAAAGCTGTGTGTTAAGGTTGTATCCTTTCCCCATATTTACTCAATGTCCACATTGATTACATAATCTGCGAAATCAGTCTGTATGAAGAAGAATGTGGCATCGGGCTTGGAGAAAAATTCACAATCTAAAATATGCAGTTGACACACCTTGCTTACCTACAGTGAAAAGGACTTGAAGCATTGACTGACACAGATCAAAGACTGTAGTGTGAATTACATTTTAATGCAAAGAAAGTAAGTGTCCTCACAAGTGGACCAGTAAGCGCCATTACAGTGACCCGGGAAAAGATCTTAGTTGTCCAAGATGTTCTTTTTCTTGGGTTCACAGCCAACACCTCTGGAAGGCAGAGTCGGAAAATCAGAGGACACATTGCATTGGGCCATCTACTGCAAAAGCTCTCTCAAAGGGTCCAAGGGCAGTGATGTCACATCGAGGGTCAGGCTCGCCCCAGTCCTTGAAGTGACATCTTTGCTCTTTAACACTTGTAGGGAGCTTTTGTAGCAGATTTGCCCAGTGCAATAATATGTCCTGTGAAAGTTGGACAATGAGTAAGGAAGAGTGAAAAACAGATTTCAACTATGGGGTTGGCAAAAAATCTTGAATACACCACGAAGTGCTGGCAGCACAGACACATCTGTCGTGGAAGATGTACAGCCGGAAGGGAGCTTGACAAGGTGTGTCTCATGTCCGTTAGTCCAGAAGGACGTCATGCTTGGTCAAGCTGAGGGTCAGAGATTCAAGAAGGAAAACCCTCAAAACATAACGTAGCTGAGGCAGCAGGCAGCCAGAGGCCTGGCATTAACCCACACAGGACAGGAAGAGAGCTCACTTAGTTAATCAGCTAAGAGCAGGAGACCTGCCTGACCTGGCAGCTTCAAGCCCAGGATGGGGCTCAGCAGGGAAGCCTGGAGCCAGGAAGACATAAGGGTGAGAGGTGCTCCGGGGGATTCCCAAGAGCAGTGTGGCTGTACCTCCGAGAAATCAGAAGCATGATTTAGCGAGACGGCGAAGCATACCATTGCTAGCATCTTGATGGCGTACATTCTTAAGGTTTCCTTGTAAAACCTTGTTCCCTGAGTGATATTCTTGGCTGTAGAACGTGTTGCCAGGAAATCCCTATTTTTCCACTTACTTTCAAAGGCAAGGGCATGCCTGGTGGCACTGACGAGCTCTGGGACACAACCAAAGCTGTTTGTAAGGGGCTTTGCTCAGGAGCACCACGAGGGGTTGGTCACTCGTGGTATCGTGGGGCTCTCTTCCACCCTACCCCATGGGCCTCCTCCAGAACGTAGTGAATTCTAAGTAATTAATGTTCATTTTCCATTTCAATCATAGAATAATGTGTGGTAAATATAACTTTAAGTTGCTTACGTGTAGTATTTCTTAGATTATATGTACTTACAACAAGATTGCCTTTCATAAGTTTTCTACATCGAATTACATTAGTTACAACATTATTAGTAACTGAGAGGAACATTTTGTTCCCTTTTTGATTACCAGCTCATTCTCAAGGGTGTTATTGATATAAGTTCACAAATACCAATTACCACAATATAGTAGCTCAAATGTCGACAAAATTGATAAAATCAGCATTTCTAACAGGCAGCGATGAAAACAACAGTACCTGCTTGTCATGTGCGTATGAAACCACCTGATTCAAAGTTCCATTTTAATTGGCAACAATGGCAGCTTTGACTGAAGTGCATTAGGAGGTTCAGAAAGTAAATGTGCATACAATTTTAGCCTTTTACATCTATCAGTACATGTAAGCTGGACTCATGAAAATATTCTTGCTGTCACTATGATTTTTTGCTGTAGCTTAGTTATTCTTATTGAAATATAATAAATTTCTGCTAAAGCACTGCACCGAAATTTCAGGCATGTGGGCATCACATCCTCTGACCAGTGGCACCTGGTGTGATCTGCACATCCCCCGGCCCCCAGCGATGACACTCTCTGCCACTGTAAAACAATGGGTTGAAGGGTTCCCGAAGTTCGCCCTCGCCAACAAAATCAACGTGACATCAAAAGTAAAGTTCTATTGGACGAATTCTGAAAGCAAAGTCATCTCTTGGATGACCCAGGTTCACCTGACTCAAGCTGGGGATGATCTTGTTGATTGCTTCATGCGCACATGGGAGCTGGCCAATGAGCAAAAGAAAGCAGAAGAGAAAGTCGTGGTTTTGGTAAAGAATATTAACCGTACCATGGACTGGAATCAGATCCAGCTTAGAATGAATCAAACCTAATGTTCCTTAGAAGGGGCCCTGATGGCTTAGTGGCTGTATCCTCCACATCAGCAGTCCAAGGAGAAAGAGGAGGCTTTTTGTTCCTTGTAAACCCAGAGGGACTGTCCTGCCCTGTCTTCGAGGGTTGCTGTAATTAGGAGCCACTCAATGGAGTGAGTTTGGTTTGCTTTGGTTTGGTTTAATGTTTCTTGGAAACAAGGATAAGAAGCCCAGGTGGCAGAGCAGGTTACTCACTGGGTTTCTAATCTCAAGGTCAGCAGTTCAAAACTGCCAGCCAGGCTCTAGAGCAGTGGTTCTCAACCTGTGGGTCTCGACCCCTTTGGCCATCGAACAACCCTTTCACTGGGGTCTCCTGATCCAAAACAGTAGCAAAATGACAGTGATGAAGTAGCAACGATAATAATTTTATGGTTTGGGGTCACCACAACATGAGGAACTGTATTAAAGGGTCACGGATTAGGACAGTTGAGAGCCACTGCTCTAGAGAAAAATGAAGCTGTCTGCTCTCATGTGGATTTACAGTCTGGGAAACCCACAGGAGCAGTTCTCCTCTGCCCTGCAGAGTCTCTCGGATCCACAGCTGATTCGGTGGCAGGGAGTTTGGTTTGAGTCACCTGGAGCAGCAAGGGCAGGGAGATGTCATCATCCGGAAAGACTCGTCACTAAAGAAGCCTGTCTATTCGGTAAAGTATATGGTCAGCTAACACGGAAGCCTTCCATGAGGTGGACTGGCACAATGCTCAACAGCAGTGAGCACAACTCACCAAAGACCATGAAGCTCGTACAAGACCTGGCGGAGTTTTTCTCTGTTACACATAAGGTCACTGTGTGCTGGAGCCAACTTGAGGGCAAGGAACAATGCATATTTTGTATGCTCCTGAGCCCCTAAAAATTAAGAACCATCTTTCCCCGTGTTTGATCACCCACAGAGAGGAAGAGATTGAACATAAAGATGCAGGAACAATATTTTGGACCCTTCTTCAGTAGAGATATTTCGTATCTTCTCTGGGACACACGGTATACATTGCAAGTCCAATCAGACATTGTAGATCTACTCCCAAGAAAAAAGCAAATCTAAACCCTGAATGGAAGCATCAGTTAGAAGCACTGGACAATATCTTACTTTGCTTAAGAACATGTCAGACTCCTAATGAATTGGGACAGAGGCAAAACAGAAGAAGGCAACAGGTCTCTGACAACCAACTCATATGTAGGCACGTCACACATTCAAAATAAGTGCCGGAAGAGTTTCCTTAATGGCCATCCTAGAGAAACATGCGTTAGTGGTGGCGCAGGTCGTCTTTCAAATTGGGCTTTAAGAGAAGGCAGGCTGCATTGAGGTCTAGAGAGGTGGAAATCAGAGAAAAGCAATTCTTACGGTTCCTCCCAGGGCCCTGTGTTCACTTCGATGTCAGACAATCCAGGGAAAGGAAATTTAAGGTCGCTGTTTTACTGGACAAAGGTGTCTTCTATTTATGGCATTGTGCATAATGTCCAGATCAAATTGGGCTGCTTCCAAGCAATAGCCATCGTGTGTCCTTTAAAAATAGAATGTTTTCAGTGAAACGTAGGCATGTCGGGTCCAGAAAAGATCCCATGAAAGAGACTATTTCTCTGGAACACTGGACAAGTGAATTTAATCGAAAATATTTTCATTTAACAAAAAAGCCTGTGCCAGCATCATTTCAGAGAGCCTATTTTAAATTTTCTTTCCACTAGCATTTATCAAAACCACCTCATGGAGTTATGTTGTAGCTTATGGATCTCTGGGCCTTTTGGTAGCCAATAGAAACAGTCTTGTCACACTAGCTCGCAGTATCTTGCTTGCTTCGCTTCCTTTCTCCGTTGATGAGCATCTCTTCAGAGTGCCCAGGTCATCTAAAGCAGCTTCTGGCCAGCTCCATGCTTATGTAAAGAGCGTGAAGGTGACCAGACTGCAAGTTGATTTGTGTGCGTGTGCTTTACCCTTTCTAGTTTGGGACGGAGAGCACGCAAGTCCGGAGATGGCCCTCACCATTCACTTGCTCCCCACGGATCAGCAGCCCCCTGTGTTCCAGCTCGCAGCGCCGCTCCTGGGGGTCGCCCAGGGAGGCAGCACTTCCATAGGTGAGAACGGGGAGCCAGGCAGAGACATCGCTGGGGAAACGGAGCCATATTTCAGCAGCAGTCCCTGCTCAGGCCTTCCTGATGGTTACCAAAATGCAGAGGCCTCCTCTTCCAGGCGTTCTGTGCTTTCTTACCTGTAGCCTGCCTGCCTTCCTCCCTTCCTTCCCATTTCCATGCAAATCAAAGCAGCCGCAGCCAGAGAGGAAAATAAACCATTCAGAGGCCAAGGCTCCGTGATGAACACAACACGCAGAATTTATTTCCCTGCCTCCCAGAGTGATTTGTGGCCATCACTAACGCGTACAGTAGCAGCCGAGAGGGAAAGAGAGGGGAGCAGCTCTCAACGATGGTTCTTGTCTTCTCTTTAAGACAGCAGTTCTTAACTGGTGGGTCGTGACCCCTTTGGGGATCGAATGACCCTTTCACAGGGGTTGCCTGATTCATAACAGTAGTAAAATGACAGTTATGAAGTAGCAACGAAAAT